CGCGCAGGGCGGGCGAGCTGGGGGGGGGGCTCCAGGAGTAGGCTGGCTGGGAAAGCAAAAAAAGGGGGGAGGGATCTTCAAAATCCTCCCCTTTTCTTCACCAGTCGGCCTGCCAAGGTGGGCGGGGGGAGGGAGCGAAGAGAGAAGGGGTTTAAAGAAGGCCCCATAGAATACAATGGAAAGGTGACTCTAGAGAGAAGGGGTTTAAACGTTAAACCCCTTCTCTCTTCGCTTCCCCCCTCCCCCCACCCGCCTTGGCAAGGCCAGCTGGGGAAGGGAAGGGGAGGCTTTTGAAGATGCCTCCCCCCTTCTTTGCTTCCCTTTCTGACATCACTTCCGGCGATGTCAGGGGGCGTGGCATATGCTAATGAGCTCCTGCAGCTCTTTTTCTACAAAATGACCCCTGGATAAACCTATGGAGCAGAGGTCCATCGCTGGCTGTTAGCCACAAGGTATAGACAGGAACTCTCAGTCTGGGGCAAGTGATGCTCTGTATTCTTGGTGTTTGGGGGGGGCACAGTGGGAGGGCTTCTAGTGTCCTGGCCTCACTGCTGGACCTCCTGATGGCCCCTGGTCTTTTTGGCCATTGTGTGACAGAGTGTTGGACTGGATGGGCCATTGGCCTGATCCAACATTGGCTCCTCTTATGTTCTTAAGTCTGGGGCAAGGGATGCTCTGTATTCTTGGTGCTTGGGGGGGGGCAACAAGGGGAGGGCTTCTGGTGTCCTGGCCCCACCGCTGGACCTCCTGAGGGCACCTGGTATTTTTGGCCATTGTGTGACACAAGAGTTGGACTAGATGGGCCTTTGGTCTGATCCAAGATTGGCGTCTCTTATGTTCTTAAGAACACGTGAAGCTGCCTCCTACCCAATCAGACCTTTTGTCTGCCGCTGAGCCACAGCTGTTTCAGCCATGCCGGCAGTGCACGCAGCACTCTGGTTGTTTGTGTAAAGAGGTATATCCCATCATTTCTGGCCCCAAGGTACCTGCAGCAGTAACAGCCATTGAAACCAGACAGATACACAAGGACGTAGCTGAAATCCAGCCAGTCCACATTTCCCCAAAAGGAGTGGAGGGGAAACAGCCGGCCGATCCTTGCTTGGGAGGAAGTTCCGTGATCTGGGGGTGGCCCGTGAGAAGGTCCCTCTGCCTGGCCACATCTAAACGGGAGGCAAAAGATGGAGCCAGAGTTCAGATGGCGCGTCAGCAGGGGGTCCCCCAGGTGCCCAGGCCCTTCCTTGGAGCCTGTGGGTCAAAACCAGAACTTTTAATGGCTCTGCAGAGTAACAAACGCTTAAAAAGTGGGCACGTCCCTATCTGGGGGAGCTCTGTGCCTGCACAACAGTGTGGTGGCCAGGACTGCCCCAGGAACTTTTATTTATTTATTCACCTGGGACCAGAGTTCAGATGGCGCGTCAGCAGGTGGTCCCCCAGGTGCCCAGGCCCTTCCTCGGAGCCTGTGGGTCAAAACCAGAACTTTGAATGGCCCTGCAGAGTAACAAACGCTTAAAGAGTGGGCACGTCCCTATCCTGGGGAACTCCATGCCTGCACAACAGTGTGGTGGCCAGGACTGCCCCAGGAACTTTTATTTATTCACCTGCTTCATTTCTGCCCCACCTTTCTCCCCAAGGGGGACCCAAGGTGGCTGACCTCCTCCTCCTCTCCTCTGTTTCATCCTCGCAACAACCCTGTGAGGTAGGTTAGGCAAAGAGACTATGACCAGCCTAGGGTTGCCAAGTTGAATCTTCTTACCGGCGGGGGAGCGTCGCCGGGCTCCGGGAGC